AACTGAAGTGAGGTGGCAACCTAGACATTTTGCTGGAAGTGCTTTGCTGTGTAATTAGGAGCCCCTTCTTAACTATTTTGAACAGGAAATCTCAAAAAATAATGACCCAATAGCAAAGTGCTGCCTGACTAAGTTCCATGACACTAATTGCCACGTCACTGCAGCTGTATTAAATGAGGTCTCACATGAATTAGCAGAATACTGATAGACAAATCAAATCAACCACAACCGATGACCAGTTCAGCAGTGAACCTATTCTACGTTTCATCTCCCTGTTGTGTGAGCCTCTGAGTAAGAGGTTTCCAGAGAATGAACTAAATGAATGGGCAGCTTTTTTCTTTGCCTCACTTCCCCCACATGAAATCAGGGATGATTTTGGCACTGAAAACAAACTGGTGCCCCCAGGCCTCCCCTTCCCAGACCCCAGCAGCCCATCCCCTCCCTCAGACCGTGCCGCAGGCAGCGCATTCAGCTCTCTAGGACCCAGCCCTGCTGCTGCATGCTCCACTGCTTCCTGTTGTTGCATAAATTGCTGGTTTGGTCCCCTTGGAGGCTAGTCTGATTTAACCCAAGAAGAGAGTCACATTTTCAGGCTGGGTCCAACTCAAGTTTATTGGTTGCAACCAAGGTACGGCTAAGGAACTCAATGTTCAAAGCAGAGCCGACCCCCAACATCTCATAGGCAGGGGGTTTTATAGGGGTCACATCTTTCCTGGTTTAGGTGCCTTAACATGATAGGTTACTTCATTTTTGATGTTTAGCATTCCTATAGGTCAGGTTAATTTTCCAAATGAGGTTAAATACAGTGCCTACTTGCTGACTTTGCGGTTACAGCTGTATTACATTCATTCACTTTTGCTGAACAATGGGCGAGCCATACTTCCCTTTTTCCTTTCCTGCTTGAGCCGGTCACAAGTTTAAAGGATGTGGAATCTATCCATATCTCTACTTAACAGAAGACTGGTTTCACTTCCCCTCGTCTCCTTATTATAAGTTATTACCTGTGACAGGCCTTGACCTTTGTCATGTCTTACTCCTATACAAATAGCAAATATATCTAAGCATTAGCAATGTATGTATATTGTACGTGCCCCTCATAGGGGAATCAATGGCTCCGGGGGATTTGACTTCCCTTTTACACATCACCTTGGCAGGATTCTCAAACTAGGCATTCTCCTCCCTGCTTAGATAAGGCCACAACAAAGTATTAGATGGACTGTGCATGTCTGTGTCCAGCTTGTTAGCATACTCACCCATGATAACATCCCCATCTGCCAGAATCAGCGTAGTGTTGAGAGTGGCACCTAAACCAGGCAATACTTAAATTCAGGCAAAGGTTCATGGCACGGAAGGCCAAGTTGACACTGCATAAGTCCCAGTCCTCTGGTCAGCTAGCTTCCCTATGTTGTATAGAGCACCTGTCTGGCCACTTTGGAGTTGAGGATTACACACAGTGGCAGGGTACTTAAAAGTTAAGAATTATGATGCCTGACTTTCTTTCTGCATTTAACCCAAAAATAATATTCAAAATGTAATTTAATTCGTGCACAGAGCAAAGCCCTAGCACTGAGCTGGAAATGTATTAACTCATCGTTAAAATTCTTAATTTTTGATATGTGAACCAGGGGAAAAAACTTGACTTTCCAATTCCAGAATGTTAGGGTGGAAGAAGGGAGAGATTATACTTTTCACTACAGCATATTTACTTTACAGATTAGCTTTAATTTCAACATCATTGTGCGATGACAATCACGGGATGATGTGATACCCATTTTCAGAGCATTTAGTTTGGTAATGGCATAACAAATGTGAGCCTTAAAATAAATTTAGCTCTTGTCTTAAATACACTTCCTGTTTTGGTACTAGAATGTTGTGTATTTTATTCCTGCAGGGTTTCTTACTGCTGTGCTTCAGGACTATGCACGTCAAAATGGAATCTCAGTAGATTCTCTTACTTTTGGCCATAGCCTGCTTCCCACAAGTCATGAGGAGGAGAGCAAACTCATAGCAGTTAAAAGAAAACAAAATATAATACAGACTGCTTTTAAGGTAAGACTCCTAATAGCATCTAGAAAACAAACTGTAAATGTGGCAGAAACCAAGGTTAATGATAAAACAGAGGTTTGTCACTTGGTAACTAGTTTGTTCTGCTACAGTTTCATTCTTTCCCACCCCCAATATTTAAGTTGACCTTTCTTGTTTTTATTTATATACCATAAAACTCATACACCATGAGGCTATGGACCTGAAACAAACTAGAAAACACCACTCAAACGTTGTCCCATTTAGGTGTTACAATTCATTGGCAGAAAATCAAAGGTAAAACCTTCATTTAATTCCCGCATATACAGAACATGCCAGTACCTTCTCTGCTAGAAGGGCCCTGTTAGACTCTCAAACTGAGGTCAGGGCAACTGGGAATGCATTTCTGACAGTAGACACCAACAAAATTTTAAGACAAGAAATGCAGCCATAAGGAACAGATGGGCGGGGGGGAGGAGAGGGGACAGAAATTCGTATTTAAGTGGGTAAGGAGCAATGTACTTTGCTACCTTTATGCAATTTACTGAAAACAAGTCCACTCAAAGGGTTAATGTATCTAATGCAGTAGTCTCTTAGTTCTACTGTCTTATTTACTAAACCCTAAATTGGCAGCTCTAGTTTGTGATAATAGCTTGGGGGCCCTATTGCGCTACTATAAAAACAGAAAGGCTACGTCTAGACTACATCCCTTTTTCGTAAAAGGGATGTAAATTAGATGTATCGCAATTGCTAATGAAGCGGGGATTTAAATCTCCCCTGCTTCATTAGCATAAAAATGGCTGCCGCTTTTTTTCCTGCACAGAGCTTTGTCGGAAAAAAGCGCCAGTCTAGACGCTGATTGTGCGGAAAATAAAGCATCTTTCAGAAAAGGCTTTATTTTCCGCACGATCAGCGTCTAGACTGGCGCTTTTTTCCGACAAAGCTCTGTGCAGGAAAAAAAGCGGCAGCCATTTTTATGCTAATGAAGCAGGGGAGATTTAAATCCCCGCTTCATTAGCAATTGCGATACATCTAATTTACATCCCTTTTACGAAAAAGGGATGTAATCTAGATGTAGACAGACAGTCCACTCCCTGAAGACTTTACTGTCCCTTAAAACAAGAACAAGCGGCAACAGAAACGACTAGTACGTTATATAGAGTTATGTTTGGAACTACCTGCTCTCTTCCACCTTTGTAACCACCACCCAGGCGGATTTGAACCTGAGACCTTTGAAGCGGAGTATGGGAGCCTCTACCCTCTGAGCTAAAAGCCAGTTGGCTCCCAGCCCATGCTGTAGAGGTCTCTTGAGGTTAGCTGTTGCTGTGGGCTACGTACCACTTGCATTGCTCAGTAACCACACTAGGTGTGTGGGTTAGTTTCACACACTTTAAAGTAACCTTGGACTTACTTCCTACTTGAAGAAGGAAAACAAGTTCAAGCCAAACGATACCCCTCCTGGATTTGGCATTCCGCTTATATTTTATTTTTAAAGGAAACTGCTACTCCTGCTCTTTTGGAGTACACTATCCTCAGGCTATAGCCATCATGCAGCTAACAGGACCTGAAGGATTTTCATTCATAAGAGCCACATGTACAGAAAGGGGGATGAGGAAATTTGGAGGCAGTAGCATCTGTTACTTTATTCTTTACTCATCCCTTTAAAAATAAATTAGTTATGATATAGGTTGTTCTTTAGAGCAGCGGTTCCCAAACACCGGGCCATGGACTGGGGTTGGGCTGCAGCAGCTCTGGGGGTTGGAGCATGCCGCCCAGCACCTCCCTTCCCACCATGGCTGCTGGAAGAGGCATGTGTACTGCACTGCCTCTCAGCCAACCAGCACTGGGCAGGGGCAGGGTCATCTAACACAGAAGAGTCATTCGCTGATCAGTGGGAGGCCACACAGAACCCAGCTTAGAGCACCAAGCAGCAGCACTCAGCTGGGAGGCAAAAAGGCTAGGTGAGAGAGGCGGGGCAGGCACCAGGGGCTCTAGTACTGGGGAGCTCTATGAGGTGGAGCAAATATTGGTGACTGGCACAGGGAGGGGACTCGGGGGAGGAGGTTGGGTGCAGTAGGGCTCTGGAAACAGGAGGCTGGTATGGGGGGGGGGGTTGAGTGCTGGGGACTTGGGTCAGTGGCTGGGTTAGGAATGGCATTAGGAGGGGTTTGGAGCCAGGATGAACCCAGCTCCCAGAACTGTTGCAAACAGCTGGCTTCTGCTGCCTGCCATATGGCAACTGCCAGAGCTGATGCTGGCTGTTTGCTGTGGCTTTGGCAGACCAGTAACATTTTATTTGCATAATGAATATGCAAATATAATGTTACTGGTTCATCAAAAGTTTGTGAATGGGTTAGCCAGTCAGTGGTATAAAAAAGATTGGGAACTACTGCTTCAGTGTAAGACAGTACTTAAGACTCCTTTATAAGCAGGTGACATCTCATTAAATGATAGGCGCCTGAGTATTACGAATACATGTAAAAACACTTGACATACTTTAAAATGTCATCAGAATATTTAAGGTTTCTCTACTCCACAATATATAATCTACATATTTGTCTCTGTCTAATCTAGGGATCTCCCCCACCTGAACATGGTGTTGTAGTTTTTGGTTTATATATAGATGGTGCACGATGGAATCCTACTACATCTGTGCTAGAAGAACCCTTTCTTTCTGACCGATTTTATTCACTCCCTGAAATGGTGTTTTTACCACAACAGGTAAGAGCTAAGATTCTGATGTAGGTTTTGTTAGATTTGTTTGCAGATGCCATATATATATATGTTTTTATGATTTCATTTTGGGCAGCCTATGGAAAATACCAATAACCTCTTCCAGTAGTTCTTGCTCGGGTAAAATGTACTGTGCTCAGTGGAAATGTTGCATGACTAAAAACTGGAGCTGATCCCTGACTCAGCTAAGAAAAAGGCAACACTTAGTACTAGTCTCACTACCTTAGAAACTAAGATCCCCTAACCAAACACATTTTCTTTTAACTACTTACCTGCTATTACTACTGTAATACACAGAAGGTATTTAACAATTCTGTTTTGTCTGGATTATAATTTTTAGGTTATTCAAGCAAGACACACATGTCTAGATGAAGAACAAAGAGAACTGATGCATTATGAATGTCCACTTTACCAGACTCCTCAAAGATCTGGAATCTTGTTAACTACAGGTCTGTCTACTAACTTTGTAACAACACTCAGTCTTCCAACCTTGAGAACTCCCAGTCATTGGGTTACAAGAGGGGTTGCAATGTTATGTCAACTGGATGACTGACTAAAATTAGAAAAAGAAATTAGTTATCCATTTCTTTCATGAAACCACCTTATCTGCTGTAGAACTAATATTGGGGAGTATAGTGGTTTCAAAAGTATTAGCACTATTTTCAGTCAACTATCTTCATCATATTTGTACAACACAACGTACTATCTTCAGCACACCTTGAATAAAATAAATCTTATTTAAAATTCAATAGTTTAATTTTGAAATGTAGAGCATGACATTTTCTTCCTGTTTTGGATACTGGAGTGCGTGTGTGAATGTGTAAAAACCAATGTATTCATCCAAATCTCAAACACACTATCGCTCTGGAGGGTAGACAGAAAAGTAGTACTGTCATTTAAGCTTAATATTTTAATTAAAGAACACAGTTGTTACCTGCTCCAATGAGAAGAGCTTTCACTAGTATTGACATGTATGCCTCACTTCCACCTATGGTAGGTAAAAGTGTTTTACCCAAGTGTGGTAGTTAATGTGCTTGTCGTCCGAAGTTATCAGAGCTTTCCATCAGCGACCACTTCAATAGAAGACTTTGCAAACAGAATTTAGTTCTATTGGTGATGCACAAGAGTAAACAAAACAAAAACCTTTTGTCCTAATATATCAAGAACACACACAAATTTAATTCTGTTTCCTCGTGCTTTGGAATTGGGAGCAGTGTTTGGTACCAGATTCTTCTTACGCAGTAGTACTCTGACTAATGTTCAAGGCTGGGCCTCTCTCCTTCTCTTGCAAGGATGTCTTACCCTTTCAGAGGACGTTAAAAGGCCCTATTTCATGGGCAACCTCCCCATCAATGTATTGCAAGGTTAGAAAAAATCTCATTCCCATGTAAAATAGCATTGTTTTCTTAAATATGCAATTAAATACATAAATAAGTGATCAAAATGTACATTCTACCACTTTTAAAACATTTTATTTTAGCTTACAGATCTGTATAAAAATTCTACTTAACTTTACATCAAAAATATAAGCATACAGAACAAGTTGCAGTTGGTATATATACCCATGTCTCTGAAGAACAGAAGCAGACTGTAAAAAGGTTGCTCTAGTTTATTTTTCAGTAGCATAATTTAACCTCATTAAAATTAGTGGTACTTGCAACCATATCTGTTTTTTCCAAGAATCAAAATATTTGGTGTTCAAATATTCTTCCGACAACAGCAACAACACAGATCTGGTGAAGCTGTCATGATCACGTTGAATGTTATGCTATATTCACTTCAAATGTAAATCGTCACTAAAATGGCTCAGACAAAATAGCGCTTTAAAAAAATACTAGCTTTCAGTTTATCACTATTTTTAAAATATTCAACTATTCAGTATTTTTTTTAATTGTAATTTAATAGGAACCCTGACTATGGAGTATTTCTTTTCCCTCCACAATGCAATTAATATTCAAAACCAGTAAATTTAGTAAGTCAAGTATCTGAATAAAGCTACCAACTGTAAAGACAAGAAGGACAATCCTAGTTCCCCAGGGTTCATTAATGCAAAATTACTTCACCACTCTCCTTGCCTTATTAAGATTAACCTACTTACAGTTAATGAAATAAAAATTTAATCTTAGCAGTGGGAAAAAATTCCATTCTTAGGATATAAAAACATAACTGAAGTAGCTAAAAATAGACACACTAGATTAAAAAAGTCAAATATATACAAAAATATATTAGAATGTGGCAAAGATTCATGTAAAAATTGATTTAAATAGAAATATTGAAAAAAGTTAGCTATCTGCAACAGTACAAAAGGCAAAACCTACATTTGAGGTAGCAATGCCAGATTCACAAACTTTGGACTGAATATATTTTCTACATTTTCATAGCATATTTGTCAACAATATTTAAATGAACACTTCAATTTATTTTTTAGACAAATCAATACATTACTTTACAAAACCCTTATGAACGTTTTAAAAAATAATACTGGAAATGGTTTTAGTTTCTTCTGGCTCCTAAAAAAAAGCGGTCGTATCTCACATTCTCAAACACTGTACAGCAAAAACATAAAGGTTTTATAATACAGTCAATGGATCCTATGGTACATTAAAAACTATTTTACACAAGACAGAGCAAATACACTGTAGCTATTTTATTTCTTAGTGTGTACTACACACCACAACTTATACCACCTTCCATTTATCACTGAATGCAGGACAATGGTTTTTGGCTCCTCAATGTTGGGAACCAGGTGATTGAGCTGGATGGAAATCATATTCCCTTAATGTAACAAAAACAAACTTTACATCACAGTACACAATTAAATGGATGTAAACTCAGATTAACTTGAAAAAGCTGGGCCTTCAGAAATTTAAAACCTCACAAAACCTTGTAATTTAGATTGGGTAGTAAGCCCGAAAGCCTTGCACCGTTTTGGGGGGCTAGGGGTGAGAGAGAGGGAGGGAGAGGGCACATTTTTCCAAGGATAATGCTCATATTCAATTAACTCTGTGCACTATTTGCTTAACATAACTTTGTTTTACTTATTCATACATCACAAGGTAATTGGTTTATTCTAATGACATTCACTGCATATCTTAAAATGAGTAGCTGGTAAGTATTTGGAGAAGGCTGTCTAATATGCATATTTGTTCGCTACAGTGTTTGATCACATCTTTAAGAAAAGCCTAAAAATTAAACAAATAACCCAAGTGCCAAGGGAAGGGGCAGGTGTTTTTATTTGCAAAGAAGCAGAAGTAATTTGCAATGCAAGTTCCTGGAGTACCTTAGTAGATGAAAGGAAATATACGGTATGGTACACGTTGACAGTACCTTTCCCATGCCAAGCCATATTTTTTCTTACATTGATGTTCATCACGAGCTTCTCGATGAATAAGCAAGCAGGTGAAATAAAGCACGTAGAAATATGGCAAAATATGATTAAAACCTGTTGAACATAATTAGAAAGTCACTGTACATAATAACAAAAAACTCAGAAAAACCATGCAGGTATTCACAGTAAGAGAAAAAACCTTAAAATACAAATCATAATACAGGTATCAGGCTCCAACTATTAGGTCAAACCTACAAAACACAATGTTTTATCTATACCATGTGTCTGCTCTGTATTGTAAGCACCTTCAGAGAGATTGCATCTATTTGTACTAGGGATAGCATCATGTAATAGAGTACACGATTAACCAATAAGCCTAGGTTTATCAGTTAATTTTGTCGACTATGTGCATTCCCCCCACCATTGCTGCCTCTGTGTCAGAGGCAGCAAGGGAGTGGAGGGAAGCTGGAGCCGGGGGGAGTTGGCTTTTAAACTAGCTCCTCACAAGCACCAGATCTGTGGAGCCATCTGCTCTTCCTCCAACCTCAGCGCGGCTGCCTCTGATAAGAGAGGCAGGAGCCTGGAGGATGAGGGGGGCAGGCATAAGCCAGTACATGTGGGAAGCCAGCTTTTAAGCCAGTTCCCCATGTGTACTGGCTCACACGTGCCACTTCCCCCCCACAAAGCTACTGCCTGGGGGGGGGGGGTTGCATGTGGAACCAGCTTTTATGCCGGCTCTCCTCATGTGCCAACTCCATGGAGCTGCATGCCCTTCCTTTCCTCCCCCAAGCTGCTGCCTCTACCAGAGGCTGGAGGGAGGGGGAGGGGGGGGAAAGAGAGGAAAAAAGGAGGAGGAGGCTCACCATGGAGCAACCTCTACACTGGGCCCAGGCTCACCACGAACAGATTGCATGTGGAACCAGCTTTTATGCCGGCTCTCCTCATGTGCCAACTCCATGGAGCTGCATGCCCTTCCTTTCCTCCCCCAAGCTGCTGCCTCTACCAGAGGCTGGAGGGAGGGGGAGGGGGGGGAAAGAGAGGAAAAAAGGAGGAGGAGGCTCACCATGGAGCAACCTCTACACTGGGCCCAGGCTCACCACGAACAGAGGTTGCTCCGTGGGATGCCAGCACAGTTTCTTTCTATGGGGAGCTCACTTCCCTCCAACCCCAGCAGCACAGACATAGGCGGCAGTACAAGGTGGCAGGGACTCGAAGCACACTGGCTGTCAGTCCTGCCCCCAAGGATTATCAAATAGTTATATAACCGATAATATGTTATGCAGTTACATGACTATTCAATGAATCACTATCCAACATCCCTAATTTGTACAGCACTTTTCCATACTCAATAATAGGTTATAGCAAGATTGCTATGACATAATCCATAGCATAGACCAACTGCCTGCAAAATAACAGTTTGTTTTTGGATTGGTATAAAGAGCGCCAGGAAGATGGTTATGTTTTAATTTGTATCCCCATCTTTTTTTAGATAGATGTGACACATTTTACAATGTTTAAAGCAAGTAATTTTGCTTCACAGCTCATAAATTCACACTTCCTGCAGACTAAAACAAAAGGGATATTCAAGAAAAATGCATTGAGAGAATGTCACAATATTGTGAGATGCATACAAAGGCAAATAAAAAAAAAGTAAAGCATCTTCCCAATATCTAGTTTAGGGATGTGAATGGTTAACTGGTAAACCTCACCCGCTTACCAGTTCCGATTAACTCATGGGCACTGGGGCAGCTCCCACCAGGCACAGGCAGGGGGGCACACTGGCTCAGTCAGAGCAGTTCTCATCAGCAGTCAGCCAGTGGGAGCAACCTCTGTGTATAGGGGGAGGGGATGGTGGTGCTCCAGTTTGGCTGGAGAGGCTCCTCAACCCACCTTCCCTTTATTCGGTTAACCAGTTAAACATTACATTTAACTGGTTAACTAATAAAACAGGATTTTACATCCATAAGCTAGATTTCCACATTTATGGATACCAAGAAAGACTGCTGACAGTGCTTTTTAAGTGAACTTCACTACAGGCAAAGTATTTAAAAGCTGAAATAATGAATGTTTGAACCTAAATGTTGAATTGACATTCTTTCTGAAGTTGGGATTTTTTTTAACTGAAACATTTTTAATAGTGGGGTTTTTTTCCTTAGTTTTACCTGTATCCTAATTTCAAGGCAAACTTTTTTTTTTTAAATCAAAAAGCAGCTCAGTAACAGGAGTTCAATACATGTGCATTCGCTCTCAAATCAATTAAGTAGGAATACAAGTAGGAATAAGGGATCTTCCAGACAAGGGTTTATTTTCCGCAAGATCCCGTCTAGACTGGCGCTTTTCTCTGGCAAAACCCCGAGCCGGAAAAAAGCGGCAGCCATGTTCATGCAAATGCCGCGGGGGATATTTAAATCCCCCACGGCATTTGCAATTCCGACTGGTCTCATTAGCATCCCTTTTCCGGAAAAGGGTGCCAATGTAGACACAGCCCATGTGTATGGGCTCCCATGGAGCTGCCTGCCACCTGAACTATCAGAAGCAGCAACGGGGAGGGAGAAAGAGGTGGCCAGCAAGAGCCGGTGCTTGGGGGGGGGGAGCCGGCTTTTAAGTTTAAAAGCTGGTTCCCCACAAGCAGCAGATCCTGCCTGTCCCCCTGCGTGTAAATGTGTAACCGCTAAAAAATTCAGCAATTACACATTTACACAAAAACACATACTTTAACATCCCTAGCCCATACTTGGCAAAGCATGTCCCTAAGCAGAGGGACACCCTGGCAATTAAATTAGTACTTCCTCTACTCCATTTGTAAACATCATAGCCCAGCTGGAAGCCCCAGAATGTATGAATGAAGAGGGGGCTCACCAATCGCCATCCACACAAGAGCATAGGTAGGGGTCTGGTTGAAAGCGGCTATCTTTTAGGAACCCAGGGTTATCCCACTGAATTTAACTTTCAGATAATTACAATCTAGCATCTAAAATAATCATTGGCACATTAGAAAGTGAAAGTCAGTTGCCAAAACACATGCACAAGTTTTTAATAGCAAGAACTTCAGTTTCAGCATCTTACCACATGGTAGGGACCAAGCCAGAGCCATAATAATATCACCTAGATAGTTAGGGTGACGAACCAAACCCCACCAGCCTGTAACTAGAAGACTTTTTCCAGCTGCAGTGGGAATACATTTCAAGTCTGTGTACAGAAAGAGTATAAAACAATGTTAAAAATGTGTATTTAAAGAATACATGAGAGATGTTGTACTGAAAACATAAAAAAACCCTGAACCTTAAATTAACCAAAAAGACACTTACGAGCCAATTTGGGATCCTTTGGATTCCTCCGAAATGCATTTTTCTGTGAGTTTGCACCACGGAAAATGTAATACCCAAATGCTAAAATAAAGATAAATCATTATTTTCATTTCATATCTGCAATATGTTTCAGTAAACTTGGCAAAATACCCTCTTGTACAATCACACAACTATTTCATTCGACATATAGTTATTATCCAGCTCTCAAAATTCATTCATTAATGGGACTGAAATATAACAACAAAACTTGGGGTTTCAAAATGTTAGTGTGTTTCATAGCATATAAGTAAGTGTAGGATTTTGGAGCATCTTTATCAAGTAGTATACCTTTTTATAAGTTTGTTTAATTGTTAACATGATGCTGGGTTTTAAATTTCTATTAAATAACCAATAAAAAGGTTCTCATATTCCTCAGCAGTGAGCCTATTTTGAGACAACACATACCCAATGCATGACTGCATACAATGTACCATTGCAACACACATCTAATGTATGTCCAAGAAACCACAACATCCATAGTTACTTCTTTGTTCATACTCTCCTCCTATATGTAGGTAAACCCTATAACACATAATAGGTCTAATCCAAAAACCACAGTAGTAACTGGGAGCCTCACAGTTTTTAGCTTAATGTGAAGAACTGAGAAATAAATGACTTCCCAAAATCATAAAGGAAGTCTGTGGCAGAGAAAGGAAGTGAACTCAGGGCTTCCTAAATGCCCTAACTACTGGACCAGCCTTCCTCTCAGGAGAAAAAAAATATTAGTTTTGTAATTGTAAAAAATGTTCATGACTTACTATTCAGAATAATAATTGCAGAAGCAGTAGGCCAAGAAATTTCATTAGGATGATTGACTAAATAGAAGGCTTGTAAACTGTAGACAAATGGAACCCATACCAAGTCTCCAAATGCTAGCATGAACCCAAACCCATCATGGGTAATGTCCATTGTAGTCAAGACAGCTTCCTAGAAAAATTAGGAAGGAAATTGACAAAAAAAAACCACACACATGAGTACATTAGTCTGTCACAATTTAACTAGCTATGCTAGCAAAAATTTAATATAGACTAAAGGGAATGTCAGTTACCTCATTCCAAAGAGCATCTACAACATAAAGAAGCTGGAAACTATTAACCAAGATCATTGACAAAGAGGGCACATTACGATCCTGTATCTTCATCTCAGCCAACAGCATCACCAAGTTAATAACAACCTAAAAAAAAAAAGAAGTCAGATTTTACTGGAAATTCTATACAAATTGAAAGGCACTTATTTCTACTGTGTTATCATTCATTTTTAAAAGCAGACTGGCGATTTAATGTCCCAAGATTTAGCTTACAGTAAAACAAAAATCTAAAATTTCATAAAAAGGTAACTCATTAGCAGGCATGATTCAAAAAAGTACAGCCTCTGCATATTCATTAATTTTAGAATGCTCAATACAAGCAATGTGATAGATCTGTAAAAACCAGTTTTGGGAGATCTGTCATGAGTTTTAATAATGTCTTTCAGTACACAACTGTTTTGCACATTTCCTCCTCTTTCAAGCATGTTATACTTTTTTACCACAATTAAAAGTTTTCATATTTCATAAGGTTCAAGCAAGAGAAACAAACTGGAAAGAAGTACTCATACTCACCCAGCCAATTAAGCCTGGACGCAACTCACAGAAATATTTGAGGTCAAAATGTCCAATGCGAGGGTTTAATTCACGTCCAATGAACAAGTCATAAACAAAGTTCCCTGCAAACAAAATGCACATGCTTCCAGTAATGGCGGTCTGTTCCCTTATTCAGACACTTTTAAAACAATTACTACTTTATCTGTGGTTAAAAAGTTGTGCCATAATCCTAAAATATGAATTTTTAAAGCTATAATGGAATTTTTCCTGTTTTTTCTCATATCGTAAAAACATATGCTAAGTCTGCCTAAAAATTTGCCCCTCAATACAGTCTGGTGTCAGGAGCTTGTGAACCTTCTTTATCTATGGCCCAGTGGCATCATAACTCCTATGTACAAGTTACATCACTAACTAAGCTTAGCTGTTCCTACTCTAAGATCTGCACCCAATCCCAATAGCAGCAATGTAACTTCAAACAAGAATGTGTACAAGTTTTAACCAAGAAAATGAAACAATGCATAAGAAAATTAAGTATGCTCTTTATTTTTTTATTTTTTGGGGGGAGGCGGGGGGGAATGGAAGTGTGAGAAGGGAGATAATAATACTATTTGCATATGCTACAGTTGAACCTTTCTAGTCCAGCACCTTTAGGATCTGACTGGTGCTTAACCATGGGATATCAATATTGTCTAGCAACATTACAAATACTTCCACTACTTCCTGGGCTCTTAGAAGACATCTAGGGGTACATTAGAGCTAAGTAACAGCACAGAACACTGAAAGCCAGAATTGGTAACTGTAAACAAACTTTATGGGACTGTGGGAAACTTAGCCACACCCATGATAAATGGACATGTGGCTAACTAAAATCATGACAGACCACAGATGTTGCCAATAGAGAGAGTGCCAGATTAGGGAGGTTCAATCTGTAGAAGGCAAAATCTTTGTTAACTTTTGAAGATGGACAAAAAAAACCACACAAAAGGCCTAGCTGTCAAGTAACAAAAGATTTTATATAGAAGATAGAATGCCACTTTTTAAAATACCATTTTAAAAAGTCACCTTTTTAACACTATAACCACACTTTTAAAAATACTATTATTGTGATAATTTCTCATATTCCTTCTGTTCATTCCCAAGCACCAGAAAAAGCCACTAAAAGCTCATATTTTTAATAATTTTCTTATTTCACTCATTCCTTTTGTCTGACAACTCCCTTAGTTAGTCATCGTACTGCCATTCCTTTAGAAGCGACACTGCAAGTTTAATTCATAGCATACACACATTTCTGCAACTAGTCAGCAAGAGCTGAAGTTTCCCTCCCATTTCCATACTGCCATAAATAAAAGCCAAACTTACTGCCCTCATAATTTTATGTTTAGGGCAAAAAAAATCTACTTTTATTTGTGCATTTGGAAAATTTAGGGATAGCCCATCTTTTATCCCAATTTACCACTGATCCTGCAAAAACCTGATATATATGTTTTAACTTTGCATAAATCAGTAGTCGTACTAGAGTCAAAACTTCCTTTCAAAAATTAAGTTAAACTAGTAGATTTCAAATAAGAAGGCAGCCAAATTAAAAAAAGGTTACTCACCGTGTGCAGTAACAGACGTTCTTCGAGATGGTTGACCCTGTGGGTGTTCCACCTTAGGGGTTTGAGTGCAGCTACATGCCTAATTGAGATCTTTGGTAGCAGTGCCCTCCGATGGGCTGTGCATGTGGAGCAGACAGCACACACGGTACCGCCACTATGCACATGCAGCAACCATACCCTCAATTCCTTCTCTGCCCCAGAAGGTGAAATCAACAAGTCCAAAGCAGAGGGGAGGAAGGGAGTGTGGTGGAGCACCCATAGGGACAACCATCTCAAAGAACCTCTGATACTGCACAAGGTGAGTAACCCTCTCTTCTTCGAGGAGTGTCCAGTGAATGCTCCACCTTAGATGATGACAAAGCAGTACCCATGATGAAGGTGGGCACTTCGGTTAGATATTACTATGCACAGCAGCTAGGACGGTGTGTCCAAAGTGGGTACCTCAGGAGGGATGACTGTCCAGAGCATAATGCCTAGCGAATGTGTGAAAAGAGGATCATGTTGCTGATCTGCATATGTCCATGAGCGGGATGCCGCATATGTAGGCTGTAGAGGCCACCATGGCCCTGGTTGAATGTGCCCATAGCTGAAATGGAGGTGGCTTGGCCAGAGGTGGAATAGACTAGTTTTATACAATCTACTATCCACCTAAATATTCTCTGGATAGAAACAGGCATGCACAGTGATCTCTCTGTGATGGAGACAAATAATCTGTTTGTCTTGTGAATTGGTTTAGTTCTATCCAAGTAAAAACCAATTGCCTGACAGATGTCGAGAATATGCAGTGCAGACTCTTTGCTATCAGCGTGAGGCTTTGAAAAGAAAACAGGTAAGATTATGGGCTTATTACAGTGGAATGGGTTGGGGACTTTTGTGGAACTTAGGATGAGGACAGAGAATGACCTTGTCTTTGTGGAATATCATAAAAGAAAGGTCTGCCATGAGAGCCGTGATCTCACTAATTCTCCTAGCAAATGTGATGGCTATTACTAAGACCACCTTCATAAAGAAGTGAAGCATGGAACATGTCACCATGGACTCAAATGGTTTACAAGAGAGCCTGGAGAACAAAGTTGAGGTCCCATGCTGGGACAGGAGGCTAGGTTGGTGGGTAAGTATTTTGTATGCCCCTCAGGAAACATTTGGTCATTGGATGGGTGAAGACTGATTTATTATCAATTGATTGATGAAGAGCCGTATTGGCTGCCAGATGAACCTTCAGGAAGCAGAACAATATCCCCAACTCTTTCAACTCTAGGATTTATCGTAGAATGGCAGGTAACGGTATTGTGGCTGGTTCTAAGCTTCTTTGTCCTGTCCACCATGAGAATCTTTGCCATTTGTAAAGGTAAGATTTTCTTGTGGCAGTTCAGTAAGATTTGTTTGACTTGACCAGAGCATGTTGTTTCTACTGAGGTGAGCCATTGCAGAACCATGCATGAAGGTGGAGTGCCTGTAGGTTCAGATGATGAAGACACCCGCCTTCCTGAGTCAAGAGATGAGGAAGCAGAGGGAGGAACCATGGTCGCCTTGTGGACATTTGGAGCAGGTAAGAGTACCTAGTCTTGTCTTGGCCACTCCAGTGTGAGAAGGATTACCGTGGCTGTCTCTGATCTGATTTTGTTGATTTTGATGAAGGTGTGGGATGGTAGGGAAGGCATAGAGAAGCATTGCATTCCAAATGCATCTCCCATGTAATGTGTTCCAATGTCCACACATGAACAGTTATGTGGACAGCTCTTGCTGGTTGCAAACAAGTCCACTTTGGGTAACCCCTATTGGGTGAACAGTTGGTGTAGGACTGTGGGGTCCATTTCCCATTCACAATTGAATTTGAAAT